TGCGGAAAGACATTACTGAGGTCGGTGACGTTGACATGGGGGACACACGACCAAGTAGATCACAATCAGGGAATTCGTGAGGACACCTACACGTCCCCAAACCTCTCGGAGTAGTCTCGCTACAGCAACGGGGCGCCCACTACGACAACTTCGGGAAGCACCCAATACCTACGCCGAGTGTCTCATTCGGCCCAACTTTCTCAACAGATAGTCTACGTGCTGAGGTCGTATGTGGTGGTGAGACGTCTTGGGCTCCCAGGAAACCCCTCCCTGTCGTCTCTAAGTTTAGTTTGATCATAGATATTTCGTGAAAAAATTGGTGTGTTTCCATTATAATTCACGAAAGTTCTTACAGTTTTTTGTTGTAGTGTCATGACGTGAATTCTTCTGTAAATCGCCAGCAAAAAAAGAACAAATCGGATTAACGTAAATACAAACAACAACTGGTACACTCGGTACGACCCGGTCAATTGGTTTAGTCTCGTCTTGGACTTTTATCCGGATGATCCCGAGGAAAATTCTTATTTTTTCCGGAAGTGGTACACTGTGTCACACGACGTCACTCCTAGGTCATCGGCCCCTCTGGACTGACCAGGGGAGGTGTCGCCAGTCCCTGTGGGTGGTGGGAGGTCCCACATTAAAATGTTTACTTCAATGAACTTGGAGATAAACTCCCTCTTGAGAGAACACAGGGATGTTAGCCTTTGCAGACCATTTACATGCACAAAGACCTATATGACACACTACATGTAAGGAAGACCCCCAAAAGCATAACTGGGCCTCTTTAACTTATATCTGTGTCTATCATTTTATTTTGTGGAAACCAGGTGTTAATCCATGCTGTGTTCAGGTTAATGCATGCTGTGTTCATATTTATGGATTAAAAGACTCATCAAAATGATTTTTAACAACAGAGATATCCTTTTTTCTCTCTTGTAGCCTCCAGTGATATCGGAGCTGTGTGCCTTCCAAACGTTGGTGTTTACGCCTCTGCTCCTGAGAAAGGCTGGATAACAGAATTTAGTCGCTTCATAAACACAGGTGAGATATTTTGTACTTTTACAATTTAGAATTGCTACATTTACTTTTACTTGCTGCTTCCATTGTTGTGAGCTACCACTGGATGGCGCTAAAGTCTTTACTATTCCTCATTCTGCACTCACTGTCCTGTTGAAATGTGCATGGAAGAAGTTCCTAAATACATATTGTTTTCCTAAGTTATAGTAGCAATACAGTGCAGTTCAGAAATACTCAGTTACACTCTGAATTTCCTGGTTGTTGAAATGTACTTTATAAATAAACGTACCTTGCCTTACAAGTAAATGTAATACGTTCAAATGTTGTAAGTAAATGTACTTATTTCTTACTTTTAAGAGGACACATTAAGCTTATTTTCAGGTTCATATTTGTATTTTTTGCCTCTGCTGCGACATGTCTCCATGATTTAATGTTCAAAAAAGTCTTTACTATTGTTCTCCCAGTCTGCTCTGATTGGTTAGATCAGGGGTGTCAAACTCAAATACACAGTGGGCCAAAATTATAAAATGGGTACTAGTCGAGGGCCGGACTGGTTCAATGTTTATTGCAAAACTTATTGAAATGAACTTATTGCACATATTAAACCTGGAACTAACAAAGCTTAAATGATTGCCTATAAAAACAACATGAAACATTAAATAATCAGTTGAATTAATTTCTTATGGCTCTATCTGCAGCTTTTCCTCAGTCATTTCTTATGATCACATTTTTCAACAGGCCAACAACAGCTTCAACAAAACTATTCATCTCAAAGAACAAACCAAACATGACCTGTTGTCGTGAGAGAAAAAGTGCAGAAGGAAACATCCATTAAACTCAGCTTGCTGCTCGGTGATGCTAGTTCAGATACTTGGCATCTCATCTTGGGTGCAAGGTCATCAATGTTTGGGCTCAGGCTCTGAGCTGAGGAGACTCTCAGGATGGAGGGAAGGTGTGCGTGCAATATACCGGCGGGCCAGATCTAATAGTAATTAGAAATTATCCTGCGGGCCGAAATTAAATCCACCAAGGGCCTGATTTGGCCCCCGGGCCTTGAGTTTGACACATGTGATCTAAGGTCAACGTGTTGTCACTGTTTTAAACCTAAAAATGCTGAATGAGTTCTATTCATCTATATTAGTTGTACAACTTGTTGATATTGTTTTTTAGTTTTAGTTTATTCTAAGTCTAATATAATGCAGGAACATTTTAATTTTCCAGCCAACTCACATGACCTGCTGAAAGGGTTTTTGATATAAATGTGATAAGGAAATGATCTAAATGAGGATGTGTTGATACCTTTACCAGCCAGCAGGGGGTGAAATTCCACCATTTGCTGCTTTCACAGAGAGATGAGCTATTTTAAAATGCGAGATTTGTCAAAGAACAAGACAAGACTCACCCGAGCATTTTAAGCCACATAACAAATCCATTATTAAAACATGTGGCTGTAGATTTTTTCTATTATCCACTGTAATAAGACAAACCATTTTAATGTTTTTACAATCTCAACCTTTTATTTAACTCAACAGTGGAAACACAGCATTATAATGATCCTGTTTTAATGTTATGTTGTCTTCCAGTCATGTAGTTGTGTAACTGCTATTTCATTCAGCTAAGCACCATGAGGAACCTTTACTACACGTTCTTATCACCTGTGTGGCTTACGACATGACATTGCAGTACCAAAGTCCTACTTTGCTTGGAACCTGGAAGAAGAAGCACATACTCTTCTCTCCGGCAAGGGATAATATTGCAAAGTATACATTGGACACAAAAAAGGTAACATTTCCATGTGTTTAGCATTGTATTTTATAATAAATGACTGATAGCTTCCCATTTTAACTAGGGATTTTACAAAAGTCATATATTAACTGGCATGCAATGTACATGTTCTGGTTGTCTGTATTTTAGTTTCTCTTAGTTGTACAGGACTCACTATTTAGATCGTAATGTATATAAATGTGAAAACGGATATAATGCATAATACATCACGCATCAATTCGATTAAAATTCAAATGTAAACACTTAGTTTATTTTTGTTTTTAATCCTGCATTTGATTTTCTATCATCAAAGTATCTGCAGCAGGTGACAGAGTATTCTACTGTAAAAACCTTAAATGTAATATAATGTGAATAATTACAACTTTTAAAGGTAGAAGGTAGATACAATGTTAATAAAAACACTATGAAATGATGCATATATATACAATTATATTATGGTTCCTCCCAACTTTAGACCAAAAATGAACCAGCTCTGGATCACTCTCTGGTTGCTCTGCCCAGCTGTGATTTACGGAGGTAAAGTTCTTGTCTTCCCATTGGACGGGAGCCACTGGGTGAACATGAAAGTCATCATTGAGGAACTCCATGCAAGGGGCCACCAAGTAACGGTTGTGAGATCAAGAGACAGCTGGTACATCAAGGAAACCTCCCCATTGTATACTTCAATTACACTCGAATCAGATTCTGGATTTGGTGAAGACTTTGCAAAAACCTTCGTGGTCCAGTTGCTGGAAATCCAGAGAGCAGGGAAGTCTGCCTGGACACGTTTCAAACTGGAAATGGAGCAAGCACAAATGGCCTCAGTGCTGCATATGAACACGGCCACAATGCTTGAGCAGCTTTTTGAAAACAAAGATCTGATACAGTCGCTGAAGGATGCCAGATATGACCTTGTCCTTGCTGACCCTGCTATACCAGGGGGGGTCCTGCTGGCCCACTACCTTAAGCTGCCCCTCGTTTTCAATGTCAGATGGACAAGTCAAGGTGAAGGCCACTTTTCAATCGCACCCACTCCTCTCTCTTATGTTCCATTGACAGGGACTGTGCTTTCAGATAAAATGAACTTTCTTGAAAGGGTTCTTAACGTAATCGTTTTTGGTTTCACAGAATATCAAATTGCATTCTATGTTCTACCATATTATGTTGACCTGATTGATAAATATTTAGGTCCAGACGCAGACTTTTTATCTCTATTTCAAGCTGCAGACATTTGGCTGATGAGAGTGGACTTTGTGTTTGAGTTCCCTCGTCCCACCATGCCTAATNGGCATCTCATCTTGGGTGCAAGTTCATCAATGTTTGGGGTCAGGCTCTGAGCGGAGGAAATCCTGAGGATGGAGTGAAGGTGTGCGTGCAATATACCGGCGGACGCCGGTATATTGCACGCACACCTTCACTCCATCCTCAGGATTTCCTCCGCTCAGAGCCTGACCCCAAACATTGATGAACTTGCACCCAAGATGAGATGCCAAGTATCTGAACTAGCATCACAGAGCAGCAAACTGAGTTTCAATGGATGTTTCCTTCTGCACTTTTTCTCTTTTGCGACAACAGGGCATGTTTGTTTTTTTCTTTGAGGGAAATCGTTTTTTTGAATCTGTTGTTGGCCTGTGGAAAAATGTAATCATAAGAAATGAATCGGGAAAAGCTGCAGATAGAGCCATAAGAAATGAATGCAACTGATTATTTAATGTTTAATGTTGTTTTTATAGGCAATAATTTAAGCTTTGTTAGTTCCAGGTTTAATATGTGCAATAATAATAATACATTTCAATACGTTTTGCAATAAACATTGAACCAGTCCGGCCCTCGACTAGTACCCATTTTATAATTTTGGCCCACTGTGTATTTGAGTTTGACACCCCTGCCTTAGATGATGTTGAGCTTTGGATCTATAATAAAAGCCAGGCACTGATAACGCCTTTTTAATCGTAGCATTTGCATAGACCTGTGCACATCCTTCAGTTAGAGACTGCACCTTTTAGGGAAACAAGAAAAGTAGAAATGTCCAACATACTACACTTAAAAATAGGTATGACAGAGTAGAGCATACTATGTTCTCCTCTGAAATCCACTGAGAGGCTGATGTGTGCCTCCAATAAATACACAGTTTGAAGGTAAACAAACATGTTTATTGTGGGGTTCGTTACAGCATATCATTCAGATCCAGTTTTGTCAAATATTTGCAAGTAGCACATTAGAAAACTGTTGTCGAGCAACAAAAAGCAGAAACACCTGAAGCTCATCTCAATGACCTCGCAAAGTTCATCCACATCAGGTCTGTGAAAATACAGATGAACCGCCACAGTACAAAGATGATGTCATCAATGAGCCAGTTCACCTATTTTAGCTGCATTAGGAATGACCAGACCTTAACAACGAAAGCCTGGGAATCTTTCAATTTAAGTTCATGTTTATTTAGCTACTTTTAGCTATACAAGCACTCCTTCAAAATGCCCTTGGGCAAAGATCAAATACAGACCATACATTTCCATACTTTGACTTATATAACACAACAATATTTACATAGATTTCAAGTATTATGCTTGTAGTGATATGAAAAAGGTCAAAACATGAATTAAGTTCATGCAAGTACATGTCTTGAATATAAACAAACTAATTAAATGAATGTACCTACCTAAAAGCTAATGCATGTCAGCTGTCAAATGTTCCATGAATATGCACTCAAACAATCTTATATCAGTCTATAATATGAATCCCAAAACCCTTTTGCATATTAAAGTATTTATTTGATTTAATGTACACAATTGAATCATATCCCTTGAATGCTTACTCACGTTTCACTTTAGATCTACACATTTTAGTGCACAAACACCTGATGAAAAACACAAAAGTGAACATCACGAGCAGCACCGCTCCAGCCAGGAACAAAATCACATCTACAGAGTGGTAGGAATACCAGGGCAGTCTGTAGGACTCTGTTCTCAGGTGAGCTGCACCTTTGTGTCTCATGACAAACTCTATCCAGAAGAGGGCGGTGTCCAGCGGCTTCATCGGCTGATCTCTGTGCAGCCTGGAGAGTCTCTGCATGTTCAACCTGTAGGAGGGCTCATTCAGGACTTCCTGGATGGCATCCTGCAAGTTGTTGTCTTTGTCCACGGTTTGAATGGTAAGAAGTTTAGCCGCGCCTCTCTCCTTTAGACGCAGCAGGTTGTCAAATTGGTCAAAAAACAGGGGCAGACCAACAACTGGTACTCCGTGATAAATAGCCTCTTGGACTCCATTGGTTCCTCCGTGAGCCACAAACAGTTTTATCTTGGGATGTCCTAAAAGGTCATTCTGAGGCATCCAGTCTACTAGCAGAGTGTTGTTGCCCAGAGTGGCTGGTCTCTCACCTTTATATCTCCAGATGACTTTCTGGGGTAATTTAGCAAAAGTTGCAGCAATCCCATTTGCCATATCAGAGGGAAGTTCACTT